AGCTAGGTAGTAGTTTGGTCAGTTATTGCTCTAATGCTGTTAATGTTTTGGGATAATGGCAGTGAAAAGCTACTGTCTTCCATTTCTACCTTGGGTGATGTATATGTGGGCAGCTTTCTTTTTATTGACTCAGCAGTGACAAGAGGGAAATCATGTTACTCAGAGAGAGAGGGTATGTGGGGTGTTGGTTGGGGAGCAAGTGCATGTGATGATGAATCAGATTTCTCCTGGGAAGGTGGATGTGAGGGATTCCAAAGCTTTTGGAACTTTTCTCTTGGGTCTTAGGTCCTCTTAGTGCAGCATCAGCAAAGCATGAGGTCCAGCAATGCAAATAATTGACCATGATGGCTAAGGCCAGGACTGCAAATCACAAATGAAAACATCCAAGACAGGACCAGTGATCCATCCATATTAGGAGCTGAGACAGAGGAAGACAGAACTTCAGGTGACCTCATTAGGTTGTAAGAGGTCAGAATTCCAGAAAGAAGTGATACTATTTCTTCCCAAAGGGAAAAGTTGTTCTTCAGTTACTCATCTATATACAAGACAAGAAATATGGAGACTTTCTGCTGTCTACAGCAACTGTTCAAAGATTCAAATGGGAAGTGTAACGTAAATGCCATCTGATCCTATCTCTCTCCCTTGTGTTCTGATGTCAGCTGACTTTTTTCTGCCAATGCACACATGGAGACTGCTAAGAGAAGAGAAAGCAAAGTTGAGTTGCACCCAGATAAGAACTGTAAAGTTTCTTATCTTGACAGGAACCAAAGAGGATAACGGGATGCTTTGGAAAGCCATTGAAGTTTTCTAAGGAAACTGATGAGCAGTTGATTTTCAGTATAGTTGTACCAAGCCATAGAGGAGTTTATTAACAAACCAACAGCTTCATATTGGGAGCTCTGGGACCAAGGCAATCAGTATTGATTGATACATATTGGAGAAATGTGAGGAACATTTTGACAATATCTAGGTACTGCAGATAAAGTACTTTTGAGAAACTGATAGTCTCAATGGAGAGGAGGAGCAAAAAAATATGAAAGAAATCTTAGGGGTTGATACTGAAATATAAGCAAACTGCTTAGGCGAAATGATGACTCTACATTTTAGAACAGAAGGAGGAGGTCTTTTCAGATCATTGTAGGTATTACAAGAGTCAGCATTGTTGAGTGGAGACTTCTCAAGAACTGGGAAGCCATGTCAAAGAAGGGAGAAGGGAAGGATTAGGTAGAGAAGCAGACAGATGTTAGAAAGAAAGAAGGTCACTTTAGAGCAATGGTTCTCAAAGTGTTTACTGACCCTGGGGAGTCTCTTCCCTTTCAGGGGTCTCTGAGGCCAAAACTATTTTGATAATGATACTAAGATGTTGTTTGCCCTTTTAAAAAATTGTGTTAAAAAAACACGTAACACAATTTACCATCTTAACTATTTTTAAATGTATAGTTCAGGAATGTTAAGTATATTCACGTTATGTGACCAATCTTTTTCATCTTGCAAATCTGAAACTCTGCACCTGTTAGACAACAACCTCTAATTTTTCCCCTCCCCCCAGCCTCTGGTAACTACTGTTCTGCTTTCTGTTCCTGTGAATTTTCTTATTTTATATGCCTCATATAAGTGAAATCATGTAGTATTTTTCTTTTTGTTTGTTCTTATTTTTCTGGCTTTTTACACTTAGCATAATATTCTCAAGGTTCATCCATGTTGTGGCATATGATAGGATTTCCTTCTTTTTTTAATGTTGAATAACATTCCATTATATGTATATACCACATTTTGTTTATCCATTCATCTATCATAGACATTTTGAGTAGCTTCTGTCTTTTGACTGTGGTGATATCATTTGCCTTTTTCATTGAGTTGACGTTTACACCAAATGTCACTAAAAACAAATTGTACTTGTAGTTATGGTAGTCTTCATTGTCACACAATTGCAATGGAAAGAAGTTTATTTCCACTTAAGAGTATCTTTTAATATTCTATGTGACAAAACATGCATTAAGCATTTCTGTTGCATGCTGAAGTTGTCTCAAGGAAAAGCACTTAGGCAGTTGTTTGAGTTATGAGCTGAACCCAGCTGCTTTTCTCATGGAATACTGTTTTTACTTGAAAGAATGACGACCAGAAAAACTGGATTTCCGAGTTGGATATTTCATAGATATATTCTTGAAAATGAGTGAAACGAAAACCTGTCACTTTAAGGAAAACAACTGCCAGTATTTATTGCCAATGATAAAATTTGAACTTCTGAGTGAAAATCAGAAGTTTGGAAAATTTATATCTGCCACTATGAGTCTGATAGCTTCCCAATACTTAAAAAGACTTTTTTGGTAAGGTTGGTAATCATATTAGTGAAAGTGTGTGGTTTTTGGTAGAATGAAATGTGTCAACATCAAGAATATTTGCATAGCTCAGTGAACCTGTATTTTCCAGTATATGATATGACAGCATCACGCATGGGTTAAAGCAATTCAAAGTGAAAGACCAGTGGATTTGGGGTGGGAGTAGTTAGGTTTATTTATTTATTTGTTTTAATGGAGGTACTGGGGATTGAACCCAGGACCTCATGCGTGCCAAGGACTGTACTCTGCCAGTGAACTATACCCTCCCCCTTTGATGTTACAGAGTATGAAACGTTCTTAGATAGGGTTTAGATTCCACATTGCAACTAACCTTTAAGAAACTCCACTTGAGTTTTAGTGTAGTATCAAAAAAAAAAGGATATCTAATGTACTGGGAAAAGTTATTCATTAAGCAGGAGAGGATGGGATCCAGAATCTTGTCAAAGAGAGGCAGAAAGAGTGGTTTTCAGAGAAGGAAGGTAGATAAATGTCTATAAAGTAGAAAGGTTGCTGATGGGAAGTGAAGTCACTTCGGGCTGGAGATGGATTATCTTGCCTATTCCTTTTCTGTGTGGCATCCAGAAGTCTGCCCAGCTTTCATATGATAGAAGTGAGCTGTTATAAGTTGATTGGTGGATTGTGAGCCCATTTCAGCCCAGTAATTTGATTAGAATGGGAAAGTTAGTGTATAACAGGTTTTTACCACATGCTTTATTTCCCGCAACTCACTCTCATATCAGATTCAGAAAAAAGTTCTACCTGGCCCTATCCTGTGCAATAATCTATAGCATTATATTGAAGCTCAAATGCACGTTCTCTTTTTAAAAAGATGCATTTTGCATTGTAGAATAAGAAAGGGACTTGGCTCTACTTTTTAATTTCAAAACTGTTTCTACATGTTCTTTTCAACAAGTTTGCTTTTCTGTCCAAAGTAAGGAACTTTGTGGTCTGTGTAGCAGTGTGAAATCACCAGTAAACACAGGCTAGATTGTTCTGAGGGGTATGTATGACACTTAGCTCACTGTGCTGATCAGAGGTGGATTTACTGTGAAGCTAATGCTACCTACAGTTCAAGGCCCCTCACTTGCATGGACCCCTTTCGTATTTATAATGTTGAATCTTTTGTTTAAAAGAACCTCTATCCCCGTTATATTAATTTCAGGTTTCACAAAACGTAGTTGTGAAGGGTTCAATGTAAGAGTGCTATCCCTGGTCTTGGGGATCTGGAAGTTAGCTCTAAAGACAGTGTTCGATGAATAGGCAAATATCTTATAAGGAGAAGGGAGTTTAGCTATAATACTTGAAAAAATTCACAGCATTGCTTGCTGAGCATTTATTCAATTATTGGCTCAACCTATAGTGATATTTATTCAAATTCAAAAGAATTTAGAAAACAAAAATTTAATCTATCACACAATATATATTAACACCAAGAAAGAGCTCTCCTTTTCTGTATAAAAAGCCAAAAGCCATTCTCACTGGGCTCCTCTTCAAATGAAGCCTTTGAAGAGGCATCCTCAGTGATGTTTGTGCTTTTCAGACCCTCAGGCTCTGAGTAAATATCAAACTTTAATATTTGTTAAAAGCTCAGCACTCAGAAGCATTTTACCACCTCTTAGCCTTCTTTTCTTTCTGAATGTTTCAGCCCTTTTCTCCAGAGAATCTTCTACATATTGGTTCTCCCTGTGGTTATTGACGTAACAGTAAGAGCAGCGGCAGCAGCATGGCACTGTGCTAACTGCTCCGCGCATGCTGCCTCTCCGAGGGGCACTGCCTCTCTAAGGGTACGACTCCTGCCCATCCTTATTTCACAGATGAGGAGACAGCCCAAGAGGAGTTAAGTAATTTGCTGAAGGTTACACAGCGTAGAAGGTGCTAGAGCTGAGACTCACACCTTGGGGTTGACGGTAACATCTTTACTTGTCCGATCTTCCTGCCGTCAGCCAGGTATCTTGGAATGAGAATCTGAGAAAATCCCAACACAAAGCACTAATGTTCTAGAGCCCAGAAGCTTTTTTAAACAGTGTAATGTCTTATTTTTTATATTTGGTGTTAAGTAGACAGGCATTGTTTTATTGTTGTTTATACTTATTTTCTAAATATTCTTTTTATAACTGCAAAAAAGGAGTAATTGTTGTATTTATGGAATAGATTTTTTATTAAAACAATTCTAGTGACATAAAATGTGAAGCAAAAAGCCCATAAATACCACCACCCAGAAATGCACGGTAAGTGATAATCATTCCACAGTATTCCTTATGTGTAATATGCAGAAAGGATAGATAAATAGGAAAGAAATTATTAGGATTGTTTTAGTTATCTAGTGTGCATAGCATACCACCCCCAATGTAGTGGCTCAGTATTTACCCAGACCTACAAGTCCTTTAATGCTTGGCAAAAGATTTGCTATCTCAGCCAGTTTCAGAACTGCCTCCAAACTTGGAGGAGTCTTTTAGTTACCTAATTTCAGTGTAAGCTAGCTGTTGGCTCATACATCAGTAAATATGGTCAATACTGTTTCATTCCTTTGTTAGGATGTGTAGTCCCATGTGCCTGGCACATGTAGGCATTTACTGAAGACTCATGAACAAGTGAATTAAGTCGTGGTGCCATTCGTGGGCCTGGCTGCTTAGCACCAGTTTCTCTTTTTGCCCGGCTTAGATATTTGGCTCGAGTAGGGGACCTTGAAGCTACTGACACTGAAGACCAAAATCTGAACTATGGACTTGTTGTGGACTGCGGCAGCAGCGGCTCCCGGATTTTTGTTTATTTCTGGCCAAGACATAATGGGAACCCCCATGACTTGCTGGACATCAAACAGATGAGAGACCGAAATAGCCAACCAGTGGTTAAAAAAATCAAGCCAGGTACTAACTGGAATATATTTTATCATCAATATCTATTTGTATCTACTACAGGAATGAGAGAGGAGAGAAGAGGAGAGGGAGAAAGAAAGCTACCCTTTTCTTGAGATTCTGGGTAATGGGAGGGATAGCTCATTTGTTGCTGCCCCACTCCTATCAAATAAATACATGTTTAGAGTCTTAAAAAGAACCTTACGGGGTATCAGTCCTCTGAATCTATGTGATCTCCTTTTTAAAGAATATATTTTATCTTACTTAAGGAATCTCTGCAATGGCAGACACTCCAGAACATGCCAGCGATTACCTTCGTCCTCTGCTGAGCTTTGCGGCTGCTCATGTGCCTGTGAGGAAGCACAAGGAGACCCCCCTTTACATCCTTTGCACAGCAGGCATGAGGCTTCTCCCTGAGAGGTGAGATGCAGGAGTGTGGGTGGCACAAGAGCTGAAAGTCCAGTTCATACATTATTGTCTGTGGCGCCCTGGTCTGAAGGTGGGATGTGGGTACACCGCACAGAGTTGGCAGGTGGCACTCAAAGACTCCTTGCTCGAAATAGAGCAGAGCCACTCCTACACCCTGTTATTTCAGTCAGTTGTTCACACCTGCATGCCATTTGCTTCTTTGGGGTCACTGTCTATCTGACATGGCTTTGATTCTTAGTTTTGATTGAGGGTTGGGAGCAGTGGTGATGGAGACACATTTGGATCATGAGGCACCTAGAGGGGGAGCATAGTTTCAGAAGGGTAGTAGGAGGGTACCCGAGGGACTTAGTACCTAGGGGCTAGTAGGAGAGCTCTGGTAGCAATGGGGCTTTCTCTGTAACTTTGCCTGGCTCCCTGGTGATAGTTGGTTCTTCTTGCAAAGTTCAGTCTCCATTGCTTTAGACCAGTTTTTTCAACCCCCGCCAGTCAAGTCTTTTCCACTTGACCTTGGCAGTTTAGCCTGGCTGCTTGCCACCTGATCCTCCTTCCTTCACTGAAAGAGGAAGAGGAAGAGCAAGAGGCAGCAGCTGTGCTTAGGTCAGACCCCTCCTCCTTTGTGGTTCCTCCCCTTTGTCAAGTCCCTGACCCCTCCACACTTATTATGGCCATGGGGTGGTAATGAGTTCCCATAAATTTAGCATCCATCCTTCTGGAATGTTCACACTCTCATAGTCATCAGGTTTTTGTGTTTTTTTTTTTTCACTAGCTTAAATATTTTTCCTTGATAAGTAGCAATTCCCTTTTCCACAAAGTTTCATTTTGTATACTTAGCCAACAGCAAGGAAAACCTCCACCATGTGGGTAGGGCTCTGCTCTGCTTGTCCAGACATGCCAGACAATGTAACATATGTTAACACTTCTTTCCCTGGGCTTCTTTCCTTCTGTTCAGACACAGAGTTACTGGTTTACTCTTGAGAAGCGGATTATTTTATGTAGCTGTTTGTCAATCTGAGAGGCCTGGGATTATTTTCCCATACATCTTGGTCTTTAAATTTTTTTTTGTTTTATTTGTTTTTATTTATTTTTAAAACTAAAGTTTAGAATGTTATTGCTGGAGCCTTACATCATTAAAGGAAACCTTGAAACAAACAAACAAGTTATAATTCTACTACCCTATCAAAACTGTTTCATTTTGTCCTATTCCCTTCTCTCTGTGCATCTGTGTGTAATTTCTACAAAATTGTAGTCATACTACATATTCAATTTAGAATTTTTGTTTTTGACTTAAGTAATGCATTGTTCAAAATTTTAGAAACCCTAGGCAGAGTATAGATGACACAGGTCATCACAGGGCTGTGAATGGACTGAGGTCTCACAAACAAGGAAGGAGGGTAGAGGGCCAGAGAAAAAGCTGACTCAGAGGTCAAAAAAAGCAGAACCAACTAGCAGGGTGATGATTTGGCCGATTTTGTGTGTCTGGAGCAAAGGAGACGATTGCCTCATCTCCTGGCACTGCCCAGCCTTGCCTATTTGTCAAAGAAGTTTCTATTTAAACAAAACCAACTATGTAGTTCCACCCCATTTCTCTGAGATGTTTGCTGTCAGTGTGGAAGCTCTGAATATTAATATTAGATAATCTCAAGAATTTTTAAAGAACTTGTCTTTTCTTTTAACTTGTTTTCTGATCACTTCTTTTAATAATGCCTAGATCTATCCTGTGCTTATGAAGTCATTGCTATCTCTGAGGCAGCGACAGTTGTTGTAATAAGTGTAACTATCACTGCAAGAACCTGTTTTGTATAATTAATGCTTTGTTAATTTATTAGCATTTGTGAGCAATATTCAAAATGGGTTTTGAATCACCTCGCCTGTATTTTGAATTTATTAGCACTAGGTTTTATTTCTTTGCCAAAGGCCTAGGCTAATAGAATTTATTCCACCTCCTTTTTATTTTGTAATGGAAATACCTTTAAAGAATTACAAAATAATATTAAAGAAAAAAACTTTATTACAGGAAATTTCAAATGTATATATAAGTAGATAGAGCAATATAAAGAATCCCCAATTACTTACCACCCAGCTTCAACAGTTGTCAATGTTTTGCCATAAAAAAGTTTTTTTTTTTTAAATGGAGATACTGGGGATTGAACCCAGGACCTCGTGCATGCTAAGCATGCAGTTCTACCACTGAGCTATACCCACCCCCTCAAAAAAGTTTTTTTAAATAAAGAAAAAATATTGAACTTTAGGAAGTGAAAATTCGGCCCTGTCTTGTGCAATACCTGAAGAGTGTTTTGTTTTTTAACATAAATTTGGATCATATTATATGTACTGTTTTGTAACCTATTAAAACTCAGATTATGTTGGACATCTTTTCATGTCAATACATGTAGATGTAAATTGACCTCATTTCTTTTAATATCTGTATAGTATTACATTGTATGAATATACCATACATTATTTAACCAGTCCCTACTGGTGTACATTTAGGTTATTTCCAGTTTTTCATTGTTATAAATAATGCTGCAATATTCTTCCTCTTTGTATTCTTATCTGATGATTTCCTTTCAATAGATGTCTAAAAATGTAATAGCTAGGTCAGAGGTTAAGCACATTAAAATTTTTGATACATAGTCCAAGATTGTCCTTTAGAAAAGTTGTACCAATAATTTACATTCCAAGCAGCAATGTGTGTTGGTGCCCATTCTTCCATATTATCACTATAACCAGCAAGCCTTCTTCAATGGATAGTTTAGAAGCATATCCAATGAGGAGGGCAAAATAGCACCTCTGTTTCCCCATATGAAATTCTTATTGTAAAAATTTATTATGTATAACAATGAGCTTTTTTAGAAACTATGTTTGATGTTATATTGGAAGATTATTACTTTAAGCGTAATTTTTACTTTTAAGTGCTAACAATGTTCCAAGTCATGCCGACAACCAGTAAAGCCAGTGGAATATTTTTGTAATGAATAATTTTTTTAAAATCCAAGATACTTGCTCTTGTTTTTAACCAACATTTCTTTTTAGATTCATATTATTACTTCTAGCTTTGTTTCTTTGGTTTCTTGATCTGATAATACCAATAATGTAAAACATTAGAGGACAAAAAAGCTCTATAGATAGTAAGCTTCAAACATTATCCCCAGATTATGACCTTTGGATTTTGATTCTGATCTGGGTTTGCAAATGATAAGATTTTTGTTTGAAAAAAATCAACCCTTGAAATATGGAAAAGAAGATTTAAAAGTTAATTGTTAATTTATGTAAAGGATCATGTAAAAACTTGTAGGCCTAGCAGTGCTTATTATGTGGTGATATGAGACATTGTTTCTGTATTGCATAAGATCTGAGGGTGAGATTGTGTTCCTCAGTCCAACAGCCTCCTTTCATAGTACTTAGGAATAGTGTAATTACACCTATTTTATAGATTATGAAACTGTTCTTCAGTTTCCTGAAGCTTATCCATAGTTAGTCTATGAGAGGCACAGAACTATAATCTCATCTTTTAATATTATTTGAATTGTAATACTATATTAAGGAAAAGTATTACTATTATTACCATATTGCCTTTTAAGAAGGAGGCTATACTTTTGAGACATTTTAAACCTTTGAAATCTAAGTGGGTACCAAACAGAACCAGGATCAGGTGGCTTGGGGAGGTGAATGGTGAGGTCTAACAAGGCTAAGCGGAAGATCAAGTTGAGGCTGTTTGTGAGAAGAGAGTTTAACCATTAACTTTTAGGTTTTTTGTTCTTTCTTACAGAAAGCAATTGGCTATCTTGGCTGATCTAGTGAAAGATTTACCTCTGGAGTTTGACTTCCTCTTTTCGCAGTCTCAGGCAGAAGTGATCTCTGGGAAGCAGGAAGGTACTGGGCCTTGAGGGGTAAATTCTGCATTTTTGGGTTTGTAGTTTTGGGGTGGAGTTGAATGCATATTCTCACGTGGCCCCAGTGTGGCCTGTATGATGAATTATGTTTCCATTTCTTGATAAAGGAAATCTTTTATGTCTTCCAGTTGCAGTTGACATAAAGGAAAAGATTTACAATCTCAGTGTTGCATTTTTCAGTCCTAAAATTTCCATTTGGTTTTATTATATTTATTTGCTGAGACTTTCTTTCTTTCCATTCATTGTAAGAGTGCTTTTGTTTCCTGGTTGTATAGCTGCTTTAATATCTTTATTTGGGAATTCCAACTCCTATGTCATCTCGGGGTTGGCATCTTTTCCCTTATGAGTTGAGATTTTCGTAATTCTTTTATGCCAAGTCATTTTATATTGTATCCTGGACATTTTGAATTGTTACATTGTGAGACTGTGGGTCTTGTCTCAGTCTATAAAGAGAATGTTGTTGTTTTTTGTTTTAGCAGGCTGGTTAGGTTCAGGCCTTAAGTTCTGACCTGTCTTATGTGGGCTGTGATTCTGCTGATTCACTTTTCAAAAAGCCTTGGCCTTGCTGTTTGGATTTGTTTCATGTGTGTGCCAATCTGAAACCTGGGCATAGCCCATACAAATGGGTTATCTAGCCAGTAGTTGAGTTCTCAAAACCTTTGATATATTATTTAGAGTTGGATCATGCATGTGAGCCCAGAAGTTCATAAACCACTTTATTCCCTACTCTCCGCAATCTCCCTGATACCTTCTGGTTCACCGAGGCTCACTGTCCTCTGGTCAGAAAGCCAGGGGTTTGATTTGCTCACTCTGCTATGCATTTCCTGTGACTGCCTCTGTATCCAGAGCTAAGTGGTAGAGGACAGAGGGAGAAAAACAAACAACAGGGATTTGCCCCAACTCTTGAGGCTATAGCTCCAGACCAGATGGTTTCTTAGGGGAAAAAATGGGAAACTCACCACTGGTTTGGTGGTACTTTAAATTCTGTTCTCTGTCACGGTGTACCCACTATCACTTACTTCCAGAGTTCTCAGAAAGCTGCTCATACATTCTATCCAGAGCTCATGCTTGTATTCAGCGGACAGACGGGGTGGAGTGTGCTTAATTCCATCTTGCCCAGAACCAGATCTCCAAGATTTACATCTTTTAACATTTGTTTTTACACATTAATTTCTATTCATTGTATGAAATTTAGAAAATGCAAATAATTTTAAAAGGGAAAAACATCACAAGGTAAGAGATTTTAAATTCATACACTGAGGTTATGGAGTAAAATACTATCATCACTTTTTTCCAAGAAAAGGAGGAAAAGAGCAGCCCTAGGAAAGATGTGTACGTGCTATAGCAGTAGAGAATTAAGCAAGGGCTTTTATATTTCTTACTTAGGAGTTTATGCATGGATTGGAATCAACTTTGTTTTGGGAAGATTCGACCATGAGGATGGTGAGTAATGTTGTCTTCTTATGACAGTTCTAAGGACTGAAGTGTTTATATCATAACCTATCAGTAACACATAAGTGCTAATTTTGATTTATCTTTTTTTTTTCTTTCTTTCTTTCTTCAAAACTTAAGATGCTTCATTCTCTAGTCATTTTTTGATTTCCAACTCATTCCATACAGTACGGGGTTTTTTTCCCTATTGGATTTTTAAAAACAAACCTTAGACATATCATTTCATCTTCATATACTTCAATAATACTCTAACAGATAAGGAGTTTCAAAACAAACAAAAGTATCCACAGTTTCATTTTTAAACTTAACAAAGTTAACAATTCCTAATATCATGTAATATCCATCTAATACCCAGGTAGCAAGTTCCCTGATCATGTCAAGAATATTTATTTGTAGTTGTCTTGTTCAAATCAGAATCTGAACATAGATCACAAATTATATTTGATTGGTCTCTCTCTCTCTCTTTTTTTTTTTTTTTTGGTGAGGGGAGATGATTAGGTTTGTTTGTTTGTTTGTTTGCTTATTTATTTCAAATGGAGGTATACTGGGGATAGAACCCAGGATCTTGTGCATGCTAGACACACACTCTACCACTGAGTTATACCCTCCCACCTAATAGGTCTCTTTTAATCTGTAACAGTTAAGCTTCTCCCCTCAACTCTTTTTTTCAAATCATTCATTTAACCAAAAGAAACCTGATCAAAACTGGGTCACTTGGTAGAATGAGTTAGCCACATTCTGGATTTGGTTGACTGCATCTTTGTAGGGTATTTAACTTGTTTCTCATCCCGTCTTATGTCCTATAAACTGGAGATTAGACACAGAAGCTTGATTAGACTTAGATTAGGTTCTTTTGGTAAGAGTAAGTTATAGATGATGCTAAGTGTTTCCTGCTGCATCACATAAGGACTTTTATAATATCTGGTTGTCTTTCTTCCAGTCATATTAAGGCTGAGCAGGTATTCGGGGTTCAGGTATTATCAGCCTGATCAGATCTGTTATAAAAATTCTCCATCTACTTTTCACCAAATGGTTAGAGCATCCAATTGTGATTGTGGCTTAGACTTATTTTTTCATTAGAGGTTGCAAAATGGTGATTCTTCTACTTCTGTCATTCCTTCTTCATTTAACAATTAAGATTTTTATGTAATGAAACTTTCTTCACTGACCATTTGGTGACCCTGAATGTAGTTCTTATGAGAAAGACAGAATAAACCCTTGATTCTTTCCTTTTATTTAGCAAGTTTTTGAATAATGACTTTGTGTTCAAGCAACTCCCAGAGGTAACCACTGAAGCTTGGGGCTTTTTTTTTTTCCCCAGTGTCATTATGAACTTGTGGATTTTAAGTATTTGATGCATTATAGTCCATCACATCATTATTCCTTTTGCTGCTCAAATTATACCATCTTTGCCCAGTAGAAGCACCTTTAAGTTGGCTCTTGTACCCTTTTAAGATGATCCCAATAATCTTCTGTTTCGCTGGCTTTTTGGCACACTAAGGTATTCTATACTCGTCTTGTATTTTTTCTACCCTAGACCTGGCGTCAGTCATTTTTTAAGGAGCCCTTTTTTTTTTAGCGGAAAATGATATTTACAGACCATGGTCTAGACGCCAGGGGTGCTCATTGCTCCTGGATTATCTTTGTTTCTAGGCCTTTTCAGTGGACAGATCTAGGAAATATGTATTTTTTTAGAAAGATAAAAATATAAACAACAGGGTCCTACTGTATAGCACAGAGAACTATATTCAATATCTTGTAATAACATAATGAAAAAGAATATGAAAGACTATATATGTGTATAACTGAATCATTATGCTGTACACCAGAAACTAACACAGCATTATAAATCAACTGTACTTAAGTTAAAATTATTCAATCAATCATGATCTCATAGTGATAGTTCTAATTCATATTTAAGGTTATGAAGTTATTGTTCAATTTCTTTGATTTTATATTAAAATCAAATACTTTCTCTCTTATGCTGAATATTTGTTTTTAGAGCTATTAACATAAATGTTTATTTGCTGTATTCATAACATATATTTAATGTTTTAAAAATAATAATACCAATAATATTACCAGTAAAATTACTGGAATGCACTTTTAAGATATTTATTTGTTTCTTTTGCCATTAAGCTATATTTTACAAGAGATATACAGTCAAAATACCAAGTTTTAAGTCACTTGAGTAATGATTTTCTGTGTAATATACAGTTAAGTTAGGTTAATTTGTTTCACTTTATTTTCAATTTTTAAGGGATTTCATGTTTTTTATTTTTTTTGGTCTTTTTTAACTTAATTTTGGCTTTTAATTACTAGACCCCTTATTTATTTCAGAATCAGAATCTGAGGCTCCCCAGGAATTGGCAACAGGGCGCAGAAGGACGGTAGGGATACTGGATATGGGAGGAGCCTCTCTCCAGATTGCTTATGAAGTTCCTACCTCAACTTCTGTTCTTCCTCCACAACAGGTATTTTATTATTAGGGGGAATTCAGTTGCTAAGAATGCCAGTATTTGAAGAAGTAAGGGCACTGTCTGGTCTGAGTCCAAATATTTGTTCAGATCCACACTAGCTTGTGTTATCTTGGGTAGGTTACCTCTCTGAACCTCAGTTTCCTCATGTATAAAAAGAGAATAATAGTATCTGCTTCATAATGTTGTGAGGATGGAATAACACTGTGGTGTAAAGCACTTAGCAAGCTGCCCAGCAGGTATTAAGTGTTTAGTACATTTTAGCAATTATAGTTATGCTACCTATCTCCAGGAATTGCCTGAGGATTAAACATGATTGTATAAGTCATGGACCACAGCATTTGATACATGCTTGTTCATTAAATTGTTATTCCCTTTTCCTTCACTGATGGTTCCATTCTTGTGCTTCTATTATTCCTTACCTGATTTGAATGTAAAGAATGTATTTTGAGGGAGAAGTTTCATCACATGGAGGAAAAAGAAATTAAACATTTTTTGAGTCCCTATTATGTGCAAGAAATAAAGCATGTTACACTGCCCCCGCCAAAGCCTGTGACTTCTCAGTGGAGACAGCCTATGATAACAGGCAGGCCATGATGGTGCTATCATTTGAGCAGGGTTTCTCACCATTGACACTGCTGACATTTTAGGCCACATAAGTCTGTTGTGGATGACTGTCCTGTGCATCACATGATGCTTAGCAGCATTCCTGGCCTTTATCTGACACAGTAATGTCCCCCTCTTCTCCAGTCTCCGAATTTTGACAGTCAAAAATGTCCTCAGACATTGCCAAATGCCCCTGGAGGTGCAGAATCACCCTGGTTGAGAAACTTAGATCTAAAAAGAACTGTGGTGATTTGGGAACTTGGCAGGGTCAACTCCATTTGCAAAGGCTTGAATAGGAGCCATGCTGGCTTCATAGAAAGTAAGGTATTAAAATATTTACCTGGTCCTTGGATGATAGTAGGCTTTTGCATAGTGGAGGCTGAGGAAAGGCCATCTGCATGGAGGGAGCAGTCTGCACAAAGACACAGAAAAAGCAGCAGAGAGCCCTGGATGTCCAGGGAATGATGAATAGCCTGTTACAGTATGGGATTTTCAAGTGTGGTAATAGAGAAGGCTGGGAAGATGAGATGAAGTTAGATCATGAGGAGTCTTGCTTGCCGTGCTAGGGGATTTGGTTTTTATATCTGTAGATAGTGGGGAACTAGCAAAGATTTTTGAGTAGAGCAGTCCAATGGGCCTCAGTTTCATCGTCTATGAAATAATTAAACTCTGACAGTCCTTCCCAGCTCTGAATTGTGTGACTGTGTTAATTTTGTGACTGGGTTCCAATCTGTTTTTTAAGAAAGTAATTTTGGTGTCAGTAGGAGAGAAAACTATAGGTCAGGGAACCTTGGGTTGGAAATGATAAAGTGCTAAACTAGACAAGGTAAGTGGAAATAGAAGGGAACGGACAGTTTTCAAGGTATATTTTGAAGTTAAAAAAAACAACAACAGTGTAATGTGGTGATGTGGGAAGGGCAGGGAGGGATGCCAGTGATGCTGAGGGTCCAGCCTACATAACCGGAAGGGTGACAAACGCAGTGACTAAGTGAGAGACCGGAGCGGAAAGGGCAGGGTTGATGCTAAGCACATCAGTATGGTTTGAGGGAGAGAGTCCTGGTCTCTTGCTCTGAAGTCCTATAACCGTAAGTTCAATTTTGTATATGTTGAATTTGAGATATCTGAGGAATATATATGTCTAGATATCTAGCAGGACTATTGGAAATACGGGTTTTGCAATCAGCAGAGAAGTCTGTGGTGGGGCTGGAGATTTTGGGAACTAAGTTGTGAGACTCTTAGTCATATTTGTTAGTATATATTCAACAGGTAAAATGAAAGCATGGTTCTGATGCTAAGGAATGGGTGATAGGTGGCACTGAGCTTTAAAGTCATAAATGGCTTAAAGTTGTAAACAGACACATAGCAATATAATGGATCTGTGTGCTTAGTTAAAATAAGGAAAGAAACAATGAGACATAAAACAATGCACTTTAAATTTTTAAAATAATCCTAAGTTCTTACTTTTTTGTATAATTCATAAAGTTGTGCACATTCACAAAATTACACAATCACCACTGTCAAATTCCAGAACATTTCATCACTCTAAACAGAAACTCCATGTTCACTAGCAGTCACTCACTATTCCCCTTTCCCCAGCCCTGACAACCACTAATCTACTTTGTCTCTTATGGATTTGCCTATTCTGGGTGTTTCATATACATGGAATCATACAATATGTGGCCTTCTATGCTGGTCTTTCATTTAGCAAAATGTTTTCAAGATTCATTCATGCTGTGGCAGGTCGGTACTTTATTTCCTTCATGGCTGCATAGCATTCCATTGTATGACCAGGGCACATTTTGTTTATCTACTCATCAGCTGAGGGACATTTAGGTTGTTTCCAGTTTTGGGCTGTTACGGATAATGCTCCTGTGAATATTCACATACACATTTTTGTGTAGATGTAAGTTTTCAGCTCTTTTGAGTATATACCTAGGATTGGAATTGCTGGGCACAATAGCGTTTCTGTAAATTAAAAATAAATACATTCAAAACAATCCCCTTTAGCAAAAATACATACAAACAAATATTACACATTAAAGCACATTTGAATGGTTGCCTTTGGCCGGGAGCTGGTGTGGGGGTAGGCATGAGGATAAAAGGGAGTAAACAAATAAAACAAAAGTGGGGCTTTGCCATGATAATGTGCCCTGAACTGAGGAATATGCTTAATTCATCTCTATACCTGAAGTCAACAACAGCAGCAACAACAACACAGAGGTAAAATTGGACTTCTCCAATCCCCAGATCTGTCAGAGGGATCTTATTGATTAGTTTTAGAAAGGCCATAAAATAGATCTCCTGATCATCTGTAGCTCATCTGTCAAATTCCTTAAAGTTGTTTTTGTCAAAGGGATTATTTTTCTGATTATAAAAATGGTACATTCCCACTTCGGGGAACTGGAAAATCAGAAAAGTACATGCAAGAAAATGACATTAGCTATCATGATTCTACCTTCTGTATAGCTACACAAAGTATTTTACTCTCTAATTTGGTATTTAGTCTCTGATTTGTTCCTTTTTGTGTAGTCATGTCATTTTATGTCTTTGTTTAAAATAATGCTGTGAGGATGAAAGAGTGCTATAAGACATTTTAAAGACAAGTCATAGCAAATGAAGCAATGTCATACCTTCTAGAAATCAACCAAAATTCACATTCCCTGTACATTGTAATACAGGAAGAAGCTGCGAAGATCTTGCTGGCTGAATTCAACCTGGGCTGTGATGTTCAACACACTGAACATGTGTACAGGGTTTATGTCACAACCTTTCTGGGTTTTGGAGGCAACTTTGCGCGGCAGCGCTATGAAGACCTTGTGTTGAATGAAACTCTTAACAAAAACAGGTATGTGTGACATGGGATCTGTGATTTTTGAAATATAGTGTTGTCAGGCTGCAGACATTAGGCAGAAATAGTTACACTCTACTTAGACAGATACGTCCTTGCTCCCTCCTTCCTGACCACCCCTGCCAATAGGGTAGCGTCTCTTAGAGAACCTCTGTTAGTTGTCCCACTTGATCCGCGTGAGAGTGCCTTCTGATCCTTGTTATTAGGACGCAAAAAAGTAAAGCAGCTTATTGTGGTGACTTCGTGCTATGCCCATGTTCGGACATGGCATCATAGGGTAAGTGAGATTAATTAAGTCACTAATTTAAATTGTGCAGAATGATGTAGCTCCTAGAGTGCATTCTACCTGGAAGTGCTCAGGATGTGTATGGTGAATTGCAGTAAAGTTGCATCTTATGTGGGACTTAGGGTCCATAGTGTGCATGAAAGATTAAAAGCGTGTGTGGTCAAAATTAACCTTTAAAATGTTCTCTTTAAGTCCAGAATGGCCATTTTTCCCTCCAATATTGGAGAGATCAGTGATTCTTCATTTGTGTACCGGATGAAGTATTTAGATCATAATGTACAAATAGCTGTTGGGATTTTTAGTATTTAAAATTATTTTATTATTATGCACATTAAAGGAAAGCATAATAGAAACCCCATAAAATTATTTATCTCCATTTGTTTAGCTAGAAATGCTAGCCTGAAGAGATACTGGTATATCCCATTTGTAATAATTTCTCTATAGCAATCAACTGTCTTATATTGGGAGCATGTTAAAGAAAATATTGTCCCATAAGTCCTTTTTGTTTTTCTAAGTCTCAGCTCCCAAGAGTTCAAGGTGCTTTGGGATAACCTGCTTTCCTGGATGATTGATGAATGCATTAAAATCAGGGAGGGTGTTTGTATTCTGAAAATATTCTTAAATCCATACAGATGTTGCTTGGTTGTAGAGCTCAGATCACTCCTGCTGGCACTATGGCATTTGAAGAACAATTACTATGAAAGTTTCACACCAGTTTTGTTTTGTTCCTTCTTCATTAGCCTCTGTGTCTCCTTTTCCATTTTCTGGCTTTGTTGTTCTGCTGCTCTTTTTTTCTCTGTCTGCTGTTTTCTGCTGCCTTGGAACAGGCTGCATCATCTTCTTCCTACACATTGGTATTTTCTTACCATGTATCTGAGTTACCTAGTTCAGAAGACTGATTATTCATCTTGTGTAGCTGCTAATCTATGCTTTAATGATTCTCTCTTTTTAATAACAATTTTCTGAGTTTTCCTTACAGGTGGTGTCACATCCTTGAAATAGGATCCACTTGTTCCAAAGCATTTCATTGTGCTACCACATTCCCATTCCCTCCTTCAGTCTTCACACTTGTGGGGGCATCTTCATCCCAGGAAGTCCACTCATCAACATCTGTCTTAGGAACTGATGAATAATTAACTGGTGTTGACAGAGTTATTTCGTCTCCACTTAATTTCTGTCCTTGGCCTGCATTTTTTCTTATTGAAGTATAGTCAGTTTACAATGTTGTGTCAGTTTCTGGTGTACACTGGCCTGCGTATTAATCTCTTTAGGAGGGAGACTACTGTTGCTAGACAAGTACAGACTTTAAACAACCAGAGCTGTGTGATGGCCATGGTGGGAATCAAAACCTGCCCCTCCCTCCCCTCTCAGAGCCAGGCCTGTGGTCGGTCACTATTGCCAGCCATTTCCACTGCACCCCTGACACGGTCCCTCCTCAGGAAAATCCCCCTGCCTTTCCCACTTCACCTCCTCCCAGTTGTTTTTCTAAACATTAGAACTGTCCTCAACATGGTGAGATCTTTTCACTTTTAAGAGGCAAGTGGGAATGAAGACTAGATGGAGACCAACAGATTCACATCTCCAATTTCACATAAGCTGGGAAATACACATGTTGACTAAAAGGTTGAACAAAATTAATCACTGCCATATTTCTTTCTTTCTTTCCTTCCCTCCATTTTCCCTTCCCTCCTTCCTTCCTTCCCTTCCACCCTTCCCTCCCTTCCTTCCATTTTCTTTCTTTCTTTTCTTTCTCTAAATTGAATTTGCATCATTTAGGTGTTAACGTGATACGACTGCGTGGTAGAGCACCGCCCTTATTTTTAGGGGTGTCAGGTAAAGGAATAGTAAGACATCTGTGAAGCATCTTAGAGTCGGCTGAGTACAGTAGTGATGTGATTTTGTCTTTGTGACAGGTTGCTGGGCCAGAAGACAGGTCTGAGTCCCGACAATCCATTCTTGGATCCCTGCCTGCCTGTAGGACTCACAGATGTGGTGGAGAGGAACAGCCAGGCTCTGCATGTCCGAGGAAGAGGGGACTGGGCAGCTTGTGGGGCCATGCTGAGCCCCCTGCTGGCTCGCTCCAACACCAGCCAGGCCTCGCTGAACGGCATCTACCAGTCGCCAATTGACTTCAACAACAGCGAGTTCTACGGTTTCTCTGAGTTCTTTTACTGTACAGAGGATGTGTTGCGCATTGGTGGCCGCTACCACGGGCCAACATTTGCCAAGGCTGCTCAGGTAAATTATTAATAATTAAGATGACTCATGTTGGCGGCAGCCATTTATTGGATGCCTAACTTTGTGCCAGATGCTGTGCAAAGGGCTTTGCATGCCTGATCTCACTAGATTCCATGCAGGAGCCCTGTAAGGCCTTATCTGACAGATGAGGAAGTGGACTTAGAGATGTTAAGGAACCTGCTATGTTATACTGCCTTCTAAATTTAATTAAGCTTAGGTTTCATGGGTGTCCTGTCACCCAAATTATCACCCAGGACTTACATTATTGGGGTGGCTAATGGTTTTTCCTCCAACTTCCCAACAGTCCTCTTTAATGTTTGTGGCCAAAAGTGTCATCTCCAGATATTTTTCCCTTGCTGGGTGTTCCCACGTATAATGTACTTTTGGGGATGATGTCACACAGGTGGGCAAGTCCACTTTCATTTTCTTAACTTGAGCTATTAAGAAGCCAGAATGGTATAGGATCATTTGGAATATTGGAAAGATGTTGCAGAAAGCAGTGATAGTGAAAGTATTGTTTAAATTTAAAATGCAGAAGTAAACATTCACTTAGACCACATTTAGGATGTAAGCATCTTATAGGCTTAAAGCATTAGTTACTTGGACAGGTAAAAGTATAGCTAGGTTTCTATAGTTCCTGCTTTAATTTGGATTCATCTCTTTAATTTTTGCATATGTCTCTTCTATCAGAAAAACTTATGGGAAGCATCTGTCCTCTCTTTTTTTACTCATTCCTTTCTGCTTTCTCAGATTCTCTAGGGTTCTGTTGGTATAATGCTTCCAACAGAAACGTCTGCAGTGCATGTACTGTTCCCTAAAAGTGGTCCCTAGGAAATATTGAAAACCTGGTTTGTATTTGCTCTTTCCTCTCCAGCCTTCAAGAATACCCTCATATTCCCTTTCCTTTCCAGCATTCCCTCACTGTCCATGGCCTGACTCTTTCATTTTAAAATGTCTTCAAATTCCATTCCCTTGAATGGGGCTCAAGTTCTTACTTGCCCAAACTGCTAGTGGCTTAATATTTTCTCTTTCCCAGGTAAAAGATGATTTTGTTCTTACTTTTTTTTACTTTCACTCAACTGTTTTCTTCCCAGTGACACCTGCCTTGTCCACCCTGTACAAAATTACATCCCTCCCCAGTGTGTCCTGTTTCCCTTTCCTGCTTTATTTTTCCCATGGGCATTTATGCCATGTAACACACTCTGTATATGTATGTGTGTGTGTGTATGTATGGGCGTGTATGTATATGTATGTCTATTTGGTTATTATCTGTCCCACACCACTAGAGTGTAAGCTTCATGAGGACATAAATTATTATCTGCTCATTGCTGGATCCCCTTGGCACCTAGAATAGCACCTGGCACATAGCAGCATTCAGGAAACGTTAGTTTACTGAACATACCAGAAGGAATGATACCCTTGGTGAGAATTTCAACATAGAGGCAGGGCAGTGATAGATTTTTGACCATTTTGTTCCCTCTGCTTGACCTGCTTATGTCTGTCCTGCTTAAGGTAGAATGAAGCTTTGTTTGGCTTTTGATATTGCTACTCCTGGTCCTAACCTTACCCTCTCTGCAGCCTAACATGCTCAGGAGCCATGTCCGGCTGGCTTTGTACTGGACGTGGAGGCAATAGGAATAAAAAAGGAATATTCCCAGGCCCCTTAAGTCACCCAGTGGCCTGAATTCAGGGACTGGCCTTGCCCAGAACCTGGGACAGTGTTTGGTGAATGAATATACCATTTCTGTTTTCCTTTGTCAACCAGGTAGCCCATAGGTAACTTTAGAAATGGCACAGCTGTGACTGTGGGGAGTTACAGAGTTTGCCTCCCATTTCATGTTGCGCCATTTCTCTGTGCTTGTTCCAGGATTACTGTGGCATGGCTTGGTCAGTACTCAATCAGAGATTCAAGAATGGCCTCTTTTCTTCACATGCAGATGAGCATCGACTCAAGTAAGTAATTCCTTTTCACCCTTCTATGTGGCCTTAAAATGTATGAACAGTGAATGAGAGAGAGTGAGCAATAGTACAGATTGGATTGTATGTTGAAGAAGAATTTGGTTATTTCAGATTTTGATTTTCTGAGGGATAGGGGCCAAAATAGTGAGCTTATTGTAGCAAAGGCAAGGGAACCTCATGGTTACCAAAAGAGTTCTCAAGTGGTGTGAGATCAAAAGTGGTGTGGTCTTTTTATTTTTAAATTTTTATTAAAATATCAAACATGTAGAAGAATAGAAAGAACAGTAAGATAAACCCACATGTAACTGTCACTCAACTTCAAAATACCAATATTTTGCCAGTTTGGTTCATCAGTCCTCCCATTTTGTAAACATTTTAGTTAAAAAAGAATTTAAATATAAATAAAGATAGAATAGTATAATGAACTCCTGAGTACCTAACACCCAGCTTCTCTGCTAATAGCTATCTTCTCATGACCATCTTGTTTCATCTGTTTTCCCACCTCATAATTTGGTTATTTTAAAGCAAATCCCAAACATCATATAATTACATTTGTAAGTATTTCAGCATGCTATCTAAAGATATGGGCTATTCAAAAAAAAGAAAAACATAATCACAGTATCATTGTTGCATTGTGTAAAAGTGATCGTCACTTTTGTGGTAACCGTTTAATAAGAGGATGTAGAATCAGATTTGGCTCCACCTAGAGGTGAGGAAGTTGAATTGGGGAGAGACAGGTCTTCCTGACACCCAGTGGTCTGGTCTTGTTCTTTTTTCCTGTAAAAAATTTATTTTTTTGTCACACAGATATCAGTGTTTTAAATCAGCTTGGATGTACCAAGTTCTCCATGAAGGATTCCACTTTCCCTATGACTACGCAAACCTGCAGACAGCCCAGCTGGTCTATGACCGAGAGGTTCAGTGGACGCTGGGAGCCATTCTGTATAAAACACGCTTCTTACCACTCAGGTAAAGTGGGCTGACCAAGCCGGCCTCTGGAACTCAGAGGATGTTAGTTGGTGCCTCAGAACAAGTTTCTTAAGTGACCTCCTCCTCAAAAAAACCAGAAACAAAGACACCCAAACTCCCTTTATTACTGCCACGTGAAGTACTATCACTAACCAGGCATGTTGAAACAGAAAGAAGGTTGAGAATTATTGGTCTGGAGTCTGTTCTTCAGCTTTCCAATGTCGGGGATTCAGTTTTGTTTATCTACAACAAATCAGTCTTTAGAACTGGCTCTTACTAACCACTTCTAAGATACTGACTGATGAGCTAAAGTTACTCTGGAGCTCTGTCTGACTAGAGAACTGGGGTAGGTTGTGTCTATACAGCAATCTTTTCTAATGGGTTGAGTCACTCAGGAGATTGTGTCATTGACTTGGAAGGCTTTTTGGTGGGCCAGAATTAGAACAAAGGACGTGAGATGCTTTTAGGGGGGATATTTTCATCAAACTGTGGTAGCCTGATGTCTTGCTCTTATGCACCATAAGAAATTTGGAATAGTTTTTAGATACTCTCTCCCCTGGACCATTTCAGATAAACTAAGATGAATTCTTAATCTTTGGTGCCTGTTTCTCTAAACTCAGTACTGTCAGAAGCCAGGCAGGTGAGAGAAGTGGGCAGCTGCAGAGTATGTGCACCAAATGAAAGGCTGATTATTGTGAAGAAGTGCTGTCCAGCATCTGCCAGCTCTCATTTGTCAAGAGAAGCCTAAAAAAAAAAGTGGGGGTACTGGGGATTGAACCCAGGACCTCATGTATGCTAGGCACACACTCTACCAATGAGCACACCTGTGCCCCCCCTCCCAACCTCCTGAAATCCACATTTTATGTGCAGTCTTTCCATTTGGAAATTCACATTTTAAGAAGACACTGAAGGTCAAACAAAATGCACATGGATCTGGTATCTGGACCACGAGAGAAGGGCTTCTGTTCTAGACAGGCAAACCACTGCACTCTCTGTTTTTTCTTTTCTTTTTCTTCTTCAGATTACAATACAATTGATTAGGTAACAGCTTTTTCTAGATATGTCCTAAGTCCTCAGGAAGCACAACAACTTTTTTTAAATGTAAGATTTAGATATACTTTGATTTCTTTTTTAATTTTAATTTTTTTTACTTTTTGGTAGAGGGGAGGTAATTAGGTTTTTTCATTCATTCATTCATTATTTATTTTTAAATAGAGGTACTGGGGATTGAACCCAGCACCTTGTGCATGCTAGGCACATACTTTACCACCGAGCTAAACCCTCCCCCCCACTGTAGTTTCTTGATTGGACTCAGGGGCCACCCTACCGTCATTAGTACCATATTTACAATCTGTAGGCCAGGGTGGTATGAGGTCACCGTTAAGACATGTTACAGATGACCTGCCTTGTCTTACTATTCATTTTTATGGCTTCTAATTTTGTCCCCAGATTCTGAAGGGTATAGGCCTGTGAGGCTCCCTCTGTAGGCCATGGAAAGAAGGTTCATGAGGAATCACACGTACCAGCTCTGGGCCTGGGGACGTGCTTCAGCTTTCCTTTCTTTGTGGAGCTGGTTTATAGCATGTTTACATGGATGGAGTAAATGGGATAAAACCACTGGGCCTTTTAAATCAGCATAAATATTTCCCTCTCAGACTAACATTTCTTTCTACCTTCAACCTCTTCCTTAGGGATCGACGGCAGGAAGGTGTCCGACAGGCCCATGGTAGCTGGTTCCGTCTCTCCTTTGTCTACAACCACTATCTCTTCTTCGCCTGTATCCTAGTGGTACTACTGGCCATCATCCTATACCTTCTGCGACTACGCCGAATTCATCACCGACAAACCCGAGCCTCAGCCCCACTGCTGTGGATTGAGGAGGTGGTGCCCATGATTGGGGTACAGGTGGGGCCGTGAGGCTGGACAAGTTCTCAAGAAGCTCAGCTACCCCAGAGTTGCTGCCCATCAAACTCCACCACTTCCTGATACTGGCCTCAGATGCTGTTTTGCCTGATGTGGATATTTGGCCTTGGAATTTCTACTTTAGTATCTACTTTAATTCCATCTCAATATCCAGGTCCTCTTCTCTGAGAGAAGCTGTAATTTAGTCTGTGAAGAACTAAATGAAAGATTGGTGCTAACAAAGGGGACCAATTTTAGTCCAATTGAAGCATGCTTCTCCTTTAGCTGGGAGGTCTGGTGTGTTCCTGGGATCTAGACTTTTTATCCCTTGCTAAAGCATGAAGTTTGGCATTGGGCACACTAGCAACCTGGTTGAAACCAAATCTGGAGCATCTGATACAAAGCTGAAGACATTCTAGCAAGGGCAGCAGCCCCTTCTTTCTCTGTAACAGAGATATTTTTATGTGGAGATCCACAGTCTTTAATAGGGATCCAAGATCTTTCTTTGCAGTTCAGTGGAACAGATATGAATTTGCAGGCAACCAAAATACAACCTCCTCACTTACTTGACAAAGAAGCCATTATGGGTGTGGTCCAAGATCCCTGACATACAGTTGATGTTAAGTTTGTGATTTTAAAAGTTAGAACCCTTTCTAAATGAATGGTCCATTGAAGATTTTAATAGTATGTTATCAGATGCCTGGTATGACCAGGATAGAAACATTTTCCATGTCTATGTGCCTCATAGGCTGTTTGGGCATTAATTTTTCTTTCTGAGCCTTAAATATGCTTGTAGGAATGGAGAAATTGTGATGGGGACTGGAAGCCTAGATTTGTCTGGTTTCAGGTCACTGTCCTCTGGGCCTATTTTTTTGTCTTATGTAGGAAGATTCAAAAAGAGTTCCTTTATTTCACTGCAAAGGCCAGTATGTAGTTGGAGAAGGGATGCATTTGGGCTGTTTTTAAAGAAAGAAAGAACAGTATCAGGATGGTGGGCAAAGGCAATACATTCCAAGTTCTTATTAATGTTTTTCTGAGAAATAGAAGTTTTCTTCATTCAACTCTTGGAATATCTGAAAAGAAGCAAATCTCAAACTTTGGGATGAATAGATAAATCTGTTAATAAGCCACGTAGCAACTTTCAGAAATTATTTAAGAGATTTCTCAATCACAAACAGCATTTCTATTAATGAGAGAGAAAATGCTGTAGTAATTACATTCTCATCTGTGACCCTTCAGGAGCTTTGCTTCTTGTCTACATTGAGTCTTTAAATTGCATGAGGATTTCTTTTTCATCAACTCCCACCTTCCCTCATGGAACCCTCTTTATGCTTTGTCCTTTTAATGTCTGCATAGCTTAGAATGTCCTGCCCAAGAATATTCTCCCAGAGTTGAAGTAGTTTCCTTTTTTGTCAGCTCTGAGTTCTAGGATTACATGAGTAGGGGAAAGGTCCTTGACTTTAAAGGGAAAAAAAGTGGAATTCTTTTTTTTTTTTTTGCGGGGGGTGGTGGTGGTGATTAGGTTTATTTATTTACTTATTCATTTATTTTTGGTGGTGGTACTGGGGATTGAACCTAGCACCTCATGCATGCTAAACATGCATACCACTTGAGCTATACCCTACCCCTAAAAAAGTGGAATTCTTAAAAAATAAATTCCATACTGGGAGCAGAAAGGAATTAAATGCTTCATAAAACAGAGAAAAATAAGTCAAGATCCTCCTAGAAGTAAACTGAGATGAAGATAAGTATACTGAGTCTTGGTAGGTGAAAAGATGATGAGTCTTGAATA